TTCTCGTCTCTTTAATTAGTGTCAAGTTTGTTTTAGTTTTCTATTTTTGTGGTCATTTTAAAATTTTGTTTGTGTGCATGTACATATTGCTCTTGTAAAATGTCCATCGTCCATCAATGACCATCAAACAAATTTGATAACAATAATCCAATTAAACTGCTAAAATCCTCTTAATTATGGTTAGCCAATGTTAACATATTGTTCAAAGGGGTTCAAGGGGGGTTCAAGAATTTCTAGGAACTTCAATAATTTTGAAACTCTCTCCACATGGTAAATTGTTTTCTAATTCTGATAAATGAGATCAAATATATTCACTTCAGACTGTAAAAGATCAAATTCAAAAACATCAGGTTAAAAAGTACGGATTCAATGAGATCGGATTCAACTAAATTCGATTTAAACAGATAAGATTCAAACAGATCAAGAGGAAATATTCAAACAGAACAGTGCAAGAAGGAGCTATGGATCGGAAATTTAGTTTGCTTTGTCTTAGTCATAAGAGCAAACAGATTCGCTTTAGATTCTAACATATCAAATTCGAAAGGGTCATATTCAAAACTATCTGGGGCCAAATTCTGGCATTCGAAAGCTATCGAAATTCCCTATATTTTTTTAAAATTCGATTGAGGTTTCGATCGCTTTCGACTACCATAGATAGATAGATAGATAGATAGATAGATAGATAGATAGATAGATAGATAGATAGATAGATAGATAGATAGATAGATAGATAGATAGATAGATAGATAGATAGATAGATAGATAGATAGATAGATAGATAGATAGATAGATAGATAGATAGATAGATAGATAGATAGATAGATAGATAGATAGATAGATAGATAGATAGATAGATAGATAGATAGATAGATAGATAGATAGATAGATAGATAGATAGATAGATAGATAGATAGATAGATAGATAGATAGATAGATAGATAGATAGATAGATAGATAGATAGATAGATAGATAGATAGATAGATAGATAGATAGATAGATAGATAGATAAATAGATAGATATATAGATAGATATATAGATAGATAGATAGATAGATAGATAGATAGATAGATAGATAGAAAGATAGATAGATAGATAGATAGATAGATAGATAGATAGATAGATAGATAGAAACCTGATCGCTCTTACTGCATTCTGTCATATTTATTGCAACCCAGCTTACACATTTCATTTTTTCAGAAATTAATCAAAAAAGTAAAAATCTACATTTATTAAAAATGCTCTTGTTTTATTTTCTTTTTATATTTTTCAAGTTGAGGAATATTTCAACTTGCCGAATATGATTGATGTTTTAAACATGCTAAAACATCAATACTTTTCAAAGACTTTTTTAATCTCAAAATGTTAACATCACTACAGTACACCTCTCTTTACCTTAAACAGAACTCAACTTATACTTTTGCTAATTTTGCAGACACTTGAGAAAATTTCTATGTTTTCAAGTGTAATTTCTACTCTAAAAAGTGTAAATGATTTTTTTAAAAGCCCCCCACTACCTCATACACAAAAAAATAAAACAAATTCACTTGTAAACAGATGGCAAACAGTGAAACAAATTAGAAAGCGCCACTAATAAATACAACAAATGCAATAAACTAATGTTTTCAAAATGTAATTAGATAATATTGCAACAACAATATGGAAATAAAATCAAAACAATAACAAGACCACCAATAATAAAACACAAGTAGGGGTCTTAAAAGTTCGTTAGGGGTCCCTCACTTTATTTATATTCATTCAACCAAACACAGCACCACCCAACACTACAGCAGTAGAGCACCACAGCCATAACACAGTTTGACAATGACAAAAAACTAAAAAAAAACTACAACTAACTTGAGCAATATTCATTGTTAAAATAATGAAAAATAACAAAAACATACAATATATATAAAACAGAATTGTTGAAATATGTAAAAGAGTAATTTGATTTCTATCCATTGTAATTCATTGAAAATTATCTTTCTATAAAGGTTTCAAAGTTAAAATATAGTCGAAAATCTTTCAGATATTCGAAATTAGAACTTATTAGAATACCTTGAACCACTCAAAAAGGAGAATAAGTTATCATCCTCCCGATATTCTTCACCCCTCGTTGCCGTTCTATAAACATTAATTTTTAACAATAATTAATAAATACTTTAATTACTCTGTTATACCATCTACAACAACAATTTAAACAATATAATCGTTGTAGTGTAAATGAGTTCAAATTTGTAACAGACAAACAAACAAAATAATTTTTGAAAAAAAAAAACAAATACAGCGCAACAGTAACAAAAAGAAATGTAATGAAAAACGCCACTTGAAAAGAACATGGTGAAGACCCCACACTCTACCCCTCTGACCAACTAACAAACCAACTTGTATATATTCATGCTAAAACACTCCCATATCAGTGTCTCGTACTTCACTTCAGTGATAACCAACAACCCAGAAAAATTTGAGGAGAGTGTAGTGTACATATGCAGCAGCTCTATAAAATATTATTACAACAGACAACGGCGTCATCAGCGTCATTGTATATATTTGTTTTTGTTTATACGCTGTTAAGTGTCGCTGTAGTAGAGGGTGTTGCAACAAGTGGGGTTATGTTTATAAAGAAATAATGCAATTCTTTTTATAAAACTATAATTCTAAAAATCTTTGAGCCAAAATTTGGAAAATACTTATAATCAACCTTGGGGGCGAAAGGGTTAATAACAAAATCTTTTACCAAATTAACATTTCTTATTGCTAAATTCTGTTTTAATAAACATATTTTTTTAAAGTAAAATATCAAGTGCTTCCATACCACTTTTTGTTGTTGTTGAGTAATTTGAAAACTTTTATTTGGTTGAATTATTTTTTAAGTGATCGTTTTGTTTTTTCTATTTAGTCGTTTATTTGTGTCTTGTATTGTACGTGCGTGTGTGCGTTCGTTCGTTCGTTCGTTCGTTCATTCATTCATTCATTTGTTTTGTTTTTCAATTTCAGTATTTTTCTTTTCGTATTTATTTTGACGCATTTTTATGTTGTTATTATTATTGTTGTTGTCGTTGCATTTATTGCATGTTGCTGTTGAAAGATGCTTTTAATTTCTATAATAAATTCTATCTAATTGAAATTTAAAAATTTTGCTGTCATTCGCTGTCATATACATACTTACATAAACACACACATCGAAAAAAATATTTAAAATAAACATCAAATAAAAGAAACTATTACCAGTCATTAAATAAAACCCAGCAGGGAAAGTGAATTTAGTTAAAGTTGTGGTTATTTTGAAACTGTGTAGTTGTCATTTTCTGGCCTTTTTTTGCACTTAGTATAGCATAGTCTAGTGCATAGCCTAGTCTATAGTCTAGTCTATAGTCTAGTCTATAGTCTAGTCTATAGTCTAGTCTATAGTCTAGTCTATAGTCCAGTCTATAGTCTATTCTATAGTCTAGTCTATAGTCTAGTCTATAGTCTAGTCTATAGTCTAGTCTATAGTCTAGTCTATAGTCTAGTCTATAGTCTAGTCTATAGTCTAGTCTATAGTCTAGTCTATAGTCTAGTCTATAGTCTAGTCTATAGTCTAGTCTATAGTCTAGTCTATAGTCTAGTCTATAGTCTAGTCTATAGTCTAGTCTATAGTCTAGTCTATAGTCTAGTCTATAGTCTAGTCTATAGTCTAGTCTATAGTCTTCTAGCTATAGTCTAGTCTATAGTCTAGTCTATAGTCTAGTCTATAGTCTAGTCTATAGTCTAGTCTATAGTCTAGGCTATAGTCTAGTCTATAGTCTAGTCTAGTCTATAGTCTAGTCTAGTCTATAGTCTAGTCTATAGTCTAGTCTATAGTCTAGTCTAGTCTATAGTCTAGTCTATAGTCTAGTCTATAGTCTAGTCTATAGTCTAGTCTATAGTTTAGTCTATAGTCTAGTCTATAGTCTAGTCTAGTCTATAGTCTAGTCTATAGTCTAGTCTATAGTCTAGTCTATAGTCTAGTCTATAGTCTAGTCTATAGTCTAGTCTATAGTCTAGTCTATAGTCTAGTCTATAGTCTAGTCTATAGTCTAGTCTAGTCTATAGTCTAGTCTATAGTCTAGTCTATAGTCTAGTCTATAGTCTAGTCTATAGTCTAGTCTATAGTCTAGTCTATAGTCTAGTCTATAGTCTAGTCAATAGTCTAGTCTATAGTCTAGTCTATAGTCTAGTCTATAGTCTAGTCTATAGTCTAGTCTATAGTCTAGTCTATAGTCTAGTCTATAGTCTAGTCTATAGTCTAGTCTATAGTCTATTCTATAGTCTATTCTATAGTCTAGTCTATAGTCTAGTCTATAGTCTAGTCTATAGTCTATTCTATAGTCAATTCTATAGTCTATTCTATAGTCTAGTCTATAGTCTAGTCTATAGTCTATTCTATAGTCTATTCTATTTAGTCTGAAGTCTACTCTATAGTTTATATTCTAGTCTATAGTCTAGTCTAAAGTCTTGTCTATAGTATACTCTATAGTAAAGTCTTGAATAGTCTATAGGCTTGTCTAAAGTCTAGTCTATAGATTAGTCTATAAACTATAGGCTAGTCTAAGGTCTACTCTACAGGCTAGTCTTTAGCCTAGTTTAATATATATGTAGTCCAGTCTATACTGTAGTCTGCAGTCTACCCTATCGTCTAGTCTTTAGTCTAGTCTATATTCTAGTCTAGTCTATAGAATAATCTATAATCTATTCTGTAGTAAATTCTATAGTCTAATCTAAAGTCTAGTCTATTTTTCAACATTTTTACGTTTAAAATGTCTTTGAGTGTATAATTAGACCAGTTCAGTAACTACAAACTTTTCTTTATAACATCATAGTGCTAAGTCCCAGCTGGGGAAATAATTCATTTAAATTTCATCTCATTTTCTCACATACCACATGCCTTGGTTTACTTTTTATCATAATGTTAAGTATATATATTTTTCACAACTTTTTTATGATTTTTACAAATTGTTTAAATATCTTTTTTAAAAACAGTTTTAAATACAAATTCCAAAGCTTAAAGTGTTCAAAAGTGCATTGAAAAGAGCCGTAAAGTTTAAATAAATTATTCCCTACAAATACTAATAAACAATTAAAACTGCAGCTACAAAAAAGCATAATATAATAAAAAACCCAATTAAAAGATACTTTTTACAAAAAATGAAACTAAAAATAAAAACTTTATCAAATAATTAACAACATATTGATTGATGGCATTCCCTTGCAATACACACAAAACGTTAAAAATAATATTTTAATAAAAGACTTTTTTTCCAAACTAACGCTAAACTTTTTTGATAAACAAATAAAAAAAAAACAAAAGCATTTTTTTGTAAAATACAACAAATTAACCAAATAAGCAATTAAGTTTTACATATTCAATAATAAGTTTAAAATAAACAAAATAAAATAAATTTTTTATAACTCAATTAAATAAATTTAAAACTACAAACATTATTTTACAAACTGGTAAGTAATTGCTTGAAATATAAGTTATTTTTTCTTTTGTATGTTATGATGTTTTTTTACTAATATTTTTCATAACCTAATGTTTTGGTTCCATTCATTTTCAAAATGTCAGTTTCTATATTTAAAAAGAAAACTTTAAGTATTATTTTTATTACAATAATAAATACAAGTTAAATTTTCCTTCGTAATATAGAAACTGCTGACTAAATTTCATTTGGAATACTGAAACACATTATTAGCCATTTTTTTTTATTAAATATGTTATTTCTTATTATATAGTTCACGACGTCCATCACCATCGAAAATGGCGCCCACAACGACTATCGAGACCATAACAATCACCAGACCTTTAAAGGTAAGAATTTTCGCTTATTATTAAAGAAAATATAATTCACTTAAAGATCCATATAGAAAAGTATATTAGGTCCGATTTTCGGAACTAATTTCCAACGTACTCCTCTTTTTAAACAAAGCAAACAAGAGTTTTCATTTTCTTCATTTGACATTTATCAAAATCTGTCAAATTTACTGACAGACGCAATGCTGCTCATCGTTAGCACGTGTTAGAGTATTCTTTTTTAACATTACACTTGTCGGCAGCCATAATTGGCATGCCATCTGATCTGTCAACAGTGTCTTGGCTTTCAGACCTTGATCTCTTTTTTTTTCTTTCAAATTTGCGACACAATTTTTTTATTATTGCAAAATAAGAACAAAAATATATAATTATTTTGCAAAAACTAGTACATATAGATATGAAATACTACTGATAGGTAAAGGGTGTGATTTTTTAAATAAAAATAAGATAAACAATACAAATTAATAACATGATTTCAATTTGGGTTGTCTACGTAAACATGGAAGCTAAAAAATCTAATTGAAAACCCAAATCCATGGAAAGAATGGACTGTAGGCCAGTTTATAGTATCGACTATCGGCTAATATAATAAATGGCTGAGTTAGACTGTACAACTATACAAAAACAACATGTATTTTGTTTTAGTTTATTGTCAAAAATTTCATATTAAAAGTAAACAATTAACAGTCATGTAAACAATAACAACTTTAGACAGAAGTCTAGTCTATAGTCTAGTCTATAGTCTAGTCTAGTCTATAGTCTAGTCTAGTCTAGCTCGATAGTCTAGTCTATAGTCATAGTCTAGTATCTCTATAGTCTAGTCTATAGTCTAGTCTATAGTCTAGTCTATAGTCTAGTCCTATAGTCTAGTCTTCTATAGTCTAGTCTATAGTCTAGTCTATAGTCTAGTCTATAGTCTAGTCTATAGTCTAGTCTATAGTCTAGTCCTATAGTCTAGTCATAGTCTAGTCTATAGTCTAGTCTATAGTCTAGTCTATAGTCTAGTCTATAGTCTAGTCTATAGTCTAGTCTATAGTCTAGTCTATAGTCTTCTAGTCTATAGTCTAGTCTATAGTCTAGTCTATAGTCTAGTCTATAGTATAGTCTATAGTCTAGTAGTCTATAGTCTAGTCTAGTAGCTAAGTCTAGTCTATAGTCTAGTCTAGTCTATAGTCTATAGTCTATAGTCTAGTCTATAGTCTAGTCTATATAGTCTAGTCTATAGTCTAGTCTCAAGTCTAGTCTATAGTCTAGTCTAGTCTATAGTCTAGTCTAGTCTTGTCTATCTAGTCTATAGTCTAGTCTAGTCTATAGTCTACTCTAGTCTATAGTCTAGTCTAGTCTAGTCTATAGTCTAGTCTAGTCTATAGTCTAGTCTAGTCTAGTCTAGTCTAGTCTAGTCTATAGTCTAGTCTAGTCTATAGTCTAGTCTAGTCTGGTCTATAGTCTAGTCTATAGTCTAGTCTATAGTCTAGTCTATAGTCTAGTCTATAGTCTAGTCTATAGTCTAGTCTAGTCTATAGTCTAGTCTAGTCTAGTCTAGTCTAGTCTATAGTCTAGTCTATAGTCTAGTCTATAGTCTAGTCTATAGTCTAGTCTATAGTCTAGTCTATAGTCTAGTCTATAGTCTAGTCTATAGTCTAGTCTATAGTCTAGTCTATAGTCTAGTCTATAGTCTAGTCTATAGTCTAGTCTATAGTCTAGTCTATAGTCTAGTCTATAGTCTAGTCTATAGTCTAGTCTATAGTCTAGTCTATAGTCTAGTCTATAGTCTAGTCTATAGTCTAGTCTATAGTCTAGTCTATAGTCTAGTCTATAGTCTAGTCTATAGTCTAGTCTATAGTCTAGTCTATAGTCTAGTCTATAGTCTAGTCTATAGTCTAGTCTATAGTCTAGTCTATAGTCTAGTCTATAGTCTAGTCTATAGTCTAGTCTATAGTCCTATAGTCTAGTCTATAGTCTAGTCTATAGTCTAGTCTATAGTCTAGTCTATAGTCTAGTCTATAGTCTGTCTATAGTCTAGTCTATAGTCTAGTCTATAGTCTAGTCTATAGTCTAGTCTATAGTCTAGTCTATAGTCTAGTCTATAGTCTAGTCTATAGTCTAGTCTATAGTCTAGTCTATAGTCTAGTCTATAGTCTAGTCTATAGTCTAGTCTATAGTCTAGTCTATAGTCTAGTCTATAGTCTAGTCTATAGTCTAGTCTATAGTCTAGTCTATAGTCTAGTCTATAGTCTAGTCTATAGTCTAGTCTATAGTCTAGTCTATAGTCTAGTCTATAGTCTAGTCTATAGTCTAGTCTATAGTCTAGTCTATAGTCTAGTCTATAGTCTAGTCTATAGTCTAGTCTATAGTCTAGTCTATAGTCTAGTCTATAGTCTAGTCTATAGTCTAGTCTATAGTCTAGTCTATAGTCTAGTCTATAGTCTAGTCTATAGTCTAGTCTATAGTCTAGTCTATAGGCTAGTCTATAGTCTAGTCTACAGTCTAGTCTAGTCTATAGTCTAGTCTATAGTCTAGTCTATAGTCTAGTCTATAGTCTAGTCTATAGTCTAGTCTATAGTCTAGTCTATAGTCTAGTCTATAGTCTAGTCTATTGTCTAGTCTATAGTCTAGTCTATAGTCTAGTCTATAGTCTAGTCTATAGTCTAGTCTATAGTCTAGTCTATAGCCTAGTCTGTAGTCTAGTCTATAGTCTAGTCTGTAGTCTAGTCTATAGTCTAGTCTATAGTTAGTCTATAGTCTAGTCTATAGTCTAGTCTATAGTCTAGTCTATAGTCTAGTCTATAGTCTAGTCTATAGTCTAGTCTATAGTCTAGTCTATAGTCTAGTCTATAGTCTAGTCTATAGTCTAGTCTATAGTCTAGTCTATAGTCTAGTCTATAGTCTAGTCTATAGTCTAGTCTATAGTCTAGTCTATAGTCTAGTCTATAGTCTAGTCTATAGTCTAGTCTATAGTCTAGTCTATAGTCTAGTCTATAGTCTAGTCTATAGTCTAGTCTATAGTCTAGTCTATAGTCTAGTCTATAGTCTAGTCTATAGTCTAGTCTATAGTCTAGTCTATAGTCTAGTCTATAGTCTAGTCTATAGTCTAGTCTATAGTCTAGTCTATAGTCTAGTCTATAGTCTAGTCTATAGTCTTCTATAGTCTAGTCTATAGTCTAGACTATAGTCTAGACTATAGTCTAGCTATAGTCTAGTCTATAGTCTAGTCTATAGTCTAGTCTATAGTCTAGTCTATAGTCTAGTCTATAGTCTAGTCTATAGTCTAGTCTATAGTCTAGTCTATAGTCTAGTCTATAGTCTAGTCTATAGTCTAGTCTATAGTCTAGTCTAGTCTATATAGTCTAGTCTATAGTCTAGTCTATAGTATAGTCTAGGCTATAGTCTAGTCTATAGTCTAGTCTATAGTCTAGTATAATAGTCTAGTCTATAGTCTAGTCTATAGTATAGTCTAGTCTATAGTCTAGTATAGTCTAGTATAGTCTAGTCTATAGTCTAGTATAGTCTATAGTCTATAGTCTAGTCTATAGTCTAGTCTATAGTCTAGTCTATAGTCTAGTCTATAGTCTAGTCTATAGTCTAGTCTATAGTCTAGTCTAGTCTATAGTCTAGTCTATAGTCTAGTCTATAGTCTAGTCTATGTCTAGTCTATAGTCTAGTCTATAGTCTAGTCTATAGTCTAGTCTATAGTCTAGTCTATAGTCTAGTCTATAGTCTAGTCTATAGTCTAGTCTATAGTCTAGTCTATAGTCTAGTCTATAGTCTAGTCTATAGTCTAGTCTATAGTCTAGTCTATAGTCTAGTCTATAGTCTAGTCTATAGTCTAGTCTATAGTCTAGTCTATAGTCTAGTCTATAGTCTAGTCTATAGTCTAGTCTATAGTCTAGTCTATAGTCTAGTCTATAGTCTAGTCTATAGTCTAGTCTATAGTCTAGTCTATAGTCTAGTCTATAGTCTAGTCTATAGTCTAGTCTATAGTCTAGTCATAGTCTAGTCTATAGTCTATTCTATAGTCTAGTCTATAGTCTATCTATAGTCTAGTCTATAGTCTAGTCTATAGCCTAGTCTATAGTCTAGTCTATAGTCTGGTCTATAGCCTAGTCTATAGTCTAGTCTATAGTTTAGTCTATAGTCTAGTCTATAGTCTAGTCTATAGTCTAGTCTATAGTCTAGTCTATAGTCAAGTCTAGTCTATGTCTTAGTTATAGTCTAGTCGTCTGTAGTCTAGTCTATAGTCTAGTCTATAGTCTAGTCTTGAATATAGTTTTGACTGCAACCTGTAATCCGGATTGAGATGTTTCAGATCAGTTTCAAATATTTGTGGAAAAATTTGTAATCAAACATTTAGATAATTCTACCGTTTACAAAATTCTTGGTACAGCAAATGAAGTCTATGATGTCCGAACTCATAACAAGATTTTATGCTGTTTGTAAACATCAACATTTGTAAACATAAAAATTTTAAACATTTTTTTATTATTTGTATTTTTTTTTTAATCCTAGGTCATTGCATTTATTTGTGGTGTTATAGTTGTTCTACTCATGATTATGGCATTGGCTTCCACCGATTGGCTAATGGCTGAAGGTTGGCGTCAAGGCCTCTTTGTACACTGCATTGAAGAAGATGTATTGCCACCACTTCCATTCAATTTACATGATCCTCCAGGCTGTTATCCCAGTCGTGATGTCTGTAAGTATTGATTTGACAACTTCATAAAATGTTTTTGTTTTCTGTTTTTTCTAATTATTGTTTTTATTATGTTTACAGTTTATATTAGAGCAACTGCTGTTCTGTGTGTCATAACATTAATTACGGATGTTGTTGCAACAATACTAACAGGACTTGGTTTAAAAACACAAAACCACAATTTAAAATATAAATTTTATAGAATTGCGGTATTAGTAATGTTATTATCATGTAAGTATATTAATAATAGGTGAATATTTTCTTAAATGTTTAATAAATGATATCTTTATGAATCAAGAATCGGAAAAGTTGCCCTTTATCTGTTAGAGACTATTTTGCTCTTAGTTGCAAAATTTGTCAATGTTTTTTATTTATTATATTTATTTTGGATTCTATTTATTTTAATTAAATTTTTTTGTTTACAGTATTAGCTGTTTTATCGGCCTTAATTATTTATCCTGTATGTTTTGCCGGTGAATTAAATCTGGGTGAGTTGCATTTGTTTACTTTGAAAGTAAATTTTTAACTAAAAACATGTTTTTATCTTTTCTTTTGTCCTACGTTAGCAAATCGACCAATTTGGGAATTTGGTTGGGCCTATGGCGTAGGCTGGGGTGCAGCTATTTTCCTATTTGGAGCTGTTGTTCTATTATTATGCGATAAAGAATCAGAAGAAATTTACTATAAGGAAAGAAAAATTGTACATGAAAACCAAATGCGCGCCTAGGCCAGGCCGCACGACCTGCCTGACGTCGTTCTTTAGACATATAAGTATACTTTTTGAATTGAAAACGAAACAATTTTATTTATTATAATTATTATCAGTTATTTTACTCTTACTTTTTGTACTACCCTAAACCAAAACAAACTTCCCACTCCCATAATGTTGAACTTATATCCCCACATTACTACATATTTTCATATACACACAATCTTTCTTCCCCCACCCCAATTCCATGGAAATCTATTAGTTTGAGAAAGACTTAAGAAAACGCAAAAAAAGAACACACTACTCCCTCTATTAACTCGTACATACGCGCATTATAAAATGGAATAAAGTAAAGAAAACGAAGGAAAAAACCATAAAAACATATTTAACATCATAGACATTTAGAATTGCATATATTACTATATACTAATGAAAAACAAATTATTAACAAAAAAACCAAACAAACAAAATCATATGAATCGTATACAAAACATATATAAAAATCGTATATATACATTAACATATATATAGAAATATATAGAGCACATATTTATTTAGAATTTATTTTTGAAAAATTCCCTTTTTTGGTTTTTAATAAATGTTTGTTGTGCCCCATATTTAGTTGGTTTTTCAAACCTTAACGCTATAAAATATTTTAATTTTGAGTTTAATTTTTTAGATGCGATACATTCAAAACAAAACCTATAATCCTCGTTACATATTTATATAGAAAAAAACGTATAAAACATTTAACATACATATAGAAATCTTGTCAAAATATGTAATTGCTTGATAGTTTCTTAATTTTTTTTCACTTGTTTTGTTAATTTTTAGAAAATTTCCTTTAATTATTTTCTCAAAATTACCACAAACAACAAAAATGTTTACTATAAATATTTGGCTAATATTCCATGTAGTTTATATGTGTGTAATTGTGTAAAAGAAAATTTTATTAGACAAAATCCGTAAAAAACCAAAAAAAAAAAGAATCTCCAAAATATTTAAAGAAAAAAAAACGTATTCAAAATTTATTATATGTATAACAACAAAAACCATTTTGACAAAAACTAAAAGAAAATATTTAAAAATGTTAAATAATAAAAGGTAACCCGGTCCGGATTAAGCATTGCTTACATTATATGTATAAACTTTTAATTTATTTTTATTTTCATTATTTTTTTTTCATATTTAAAACAAAATTATTAAATATTAAACCAGAGTAATAAATATATTTGTTAATAATATTATCAAAATATTTAAAGCAAATCTTTGTATGAACACCAAATTTATACCTTAACTAACATGGCACAAAATATTGAAGTTTTTCAAAATTTCAAATGAACACCCACCCTTCCCTTTTTTAAACATTTTTTTTTTATAAATTAAAAACAAAAAATTTTTATGGATAAATTTCCTTTTAGGTCAAAGAGTTTTGTTTCCTTTATGGTAAGGTTTTCTTAAGACAATTAAATAAAACTATATAGCAAACCAAGTCGTGAGTCAAGACCAGTCTTTAAACTGGTCTGTAGTTAAGACTATTGCATGGTCTATAGCCAAGAGTACAGCCTGGTCTATAGTCAGAGTATAGTATGACTTATAGTCAAGATTCTTAACAAGGTCTGTTGACAAACCTGCAGACGGTTAGTATTTAAGGCTATATACGAAATATTTTCAAGACTATAGACGATCAATAGTCAAGACTATAGACGGTCTAGATTCAAGATAATAGACTTTTTATAGTCAAGACTATAGACGGTCTATAGACAAGACAAGATACGGTCTATAGTCAAGACTATATATAGTCTGATGTATAGTCGAGACTATAGCCTGATCTTTAATCAATACTATAGTCTGATCTATAGTTGAAACTATAGTCTGATCTATAGTTGAAACTATAGTCTGATCTATATTTGAAACTATAGTCTGATCTATAGTAAAGAGTATATCCTAATCGGTAGTCAAAACTATAGTCAAGATTATGGTCTGATCAATAGTCAAGACTATGGTCTGAACTATCTATACTATACTGTAGTGTGATATATGGACAATCCTATAGACGTTGAGTAGTCAACACTGTAGACGGTATATAGTCACGACCATAGACAAAACTATAGTCTGATCTATAGTCAAGACTATAATCTGATCTGTAGTACAGACAATGGTCTAAACTGTATTCAAGACCATTGTCTGATCTATAGTCAAGGCAATAGTCTGATCTATATTCAAGACTATAGATGCTCCGTAGTCAAGACTATAGATGTGATATAGTCAACACTTTAGATGTTCTATAGTCAAGACTATAGATGTTTTATAGTCAAGACTATAGATGTTATATAGTCAAGACTATAGATGTTCTATAGTCAAGACTATAGATGTTCTATATTCAAGACTGTAGATGTGATATAGTCAAGACTATAGATGTTCTATAGCCAAGACTATAGTGTTGACTATATGTGATATGGTCAACACTATAGATGTTCTATAGTCAAGACTATAGATGTGATATAGTCAAGACTATAGATGTGATATACTCAACACTATAGATGTTCTATAGTCAACATGTTATATAGTCTAGACTATAGATGTTCTATAGTCAAGACTATAGATATTCTATAGTCAAGACTATAGATGTTCTATAGTCAAGACTATAGATGTTCTATAGTCAAGACTATAGATGTTCTATAGTCAAGACTATAGATATTCTATAGTCAAGACTATAGATGTTCTATAGTTAAGACAAAAGATGTTCTACAGTCAAGACAATAGATGTTCTGTAGTCAACATGTTATATAGTCAAGACTATAGACTGCTCTTTAGTCAAGTCAAAACTCTTTGTAAAACAAGAACAAAAACATTTTGCTATGTACTTTTTTAGTAAAAAACATTAAGCATTTTTTTCACTTTACACCCTGTATTTCCAATTTAACACATTTTCATTATAAACATTTTATTTCACATAATAAGATAATTAAATGATATCAATATTTATATATTTTTATAGCTAAAAAACTAAGACACTTTATTTCTGTAAAAAAAAAACATTTTGATATTTTCTTACGAAATTTATCAGTTTCGTTTATAAAAGTCATATTCATAATGTTAGAAAATCTTGTATACGATTTGTTAACAAAATTAAGAAATTCAAATTATATGATTCAATTTAAGGATTTTACTGCAAATTATATAACTTTAAAAAGAAATTTGAAATATATTTTAGAAAAATACTCATGAATTTGTTACAACATTTGAAAAAATACTCATTTAAACAAAAAAATTAAATATTTTTTATAACAATTTAAAAAAATACTTTAAAAAGTCTCCAATATCTTGGAATTAACTACTAAAGTTTAAAATGGCCTCTATTTCAATACTTTTTATATTAAAATTTAGATTTCTGCTAACAAATTTGGTAAATAAGTTCGATTTTCAAAATTATGAATATGATTTTTTTCTACTTTCTTAATATATGTTTTAGCATAAAATACGTTTCGTTTTTATTCAAATGGTAGTTAAAACTTGTTCGAATTGTTTTTATTTTAATTCTAATATTTATTTATTATTTACAAAACTTATAATTAATAGTTTTCTTTTCCTTTTAACTGGCCTTTTCTCAAGAAAAAGTAAACAAACGACTAATTAAAAAAAATAACTGATGTTTAAACACTTGTTTTATAAAATTTAAAACATAATAGTTTAAGTTAGTTATTTTTGCTTATAATTATTTATTAAAACTCCTTCTACTCCTCTTAAAACAAACTGGCAACTTATTTAAATTCCTATAATTACAATTTGGGCAGCTATAATATTTCGAAATTATTTCGAAAAAAGCAAACATATCATGTCTATTAATTTTTATAATTTTTTCAATTATTTATGTATTATTTTTTTATAACAATTTATTTTTATTTTTTTTACAACTCTACTTAAAAAACTGTTAACTTGTTTAATTAATCATAGTATTTATAAAAAAAAACATTTTGCATTAAATAACAATTTGAAGCGGAAATCTCGGAAATTTCTTTAAAATTTTATTTGAAATAGATTTTTGCCGTTTAGATTGTTATTTCATGTTCTTAAACCTCCTTGACACTTGATTATTGATTTGTACAATTTTATTATTATTGATTATTATTTTTATTATTAATTTGTTTGTTCTTAAATAAAAAGTTTTTATTTAACTAAAATTTATGGTGTTTTTTCTTTATTCTTCTGATTTAAATTTAATATTTTCTTTATTTATTAAGTTGTTATTATTTTAAATGATTTTCTTAAAAGGTTTAATAGGGTAGACAAAATTTGAAAAAATTCGTAAACTAGGGTCTAAAGAATAAAGGATAGACATAGCTGCGCTGAATCCGAATATGACCTCAAAATTTTGTCAACCACATTAAGTCTGGACTATAGTCTTGAATATAGGCTATAATCTGGACTATAGACTAATATGTTGATTATAGACTAATATCTGGGATATAGACTATAGTCTGGACTATAGACTAAAGTCTGCACTATACAGTATAGTCTGGACTATATATTATAGTCTGGACTATAGACTATAGTCTGGATTATAGACTATAGTCTGGACTATAGATTAAAGTCTGGACTATAGACTAAAGTCTGGACTATAGACTATAGTCTGGGCTATAGATTATAGTCCTGGACTATAGACTTTTGTCCTGGACTATAGACTCTAATCCTGGACTATAGACTTTAGACCTGGACTATAGACTGGGCTATAGATTATAGTCCGGACTATAGACTATAGTTTGGGCTATAGACTATAGTCTGGACTATAGACTGAACTATAGACTGTAGTCTGGACTGTAGACTATAGTCTGGACTATAGACTGTAGTCTGGATTGTACACTGTAGTCCGGACTATAGACTGTAGTCAGGACTGTAGACTATAGTCTGGACTATAAACTATAGTCTGGACTATAAACTATAGTCTGGACTATAAACTATAGTCTGGACTATAGACTATAGTGTGGACAATAAACTATAGTCTGGACTATAGACTATAGTCTGGATTATACACTGTAGTCCGGACTATAGACTGTAGTCAGGACTGTAGACTATAGTTTGAACTATAAACTATAGTCTGGACTAGTGTGGACAATAAACTATACTCTGGACTATACACTATAGTCTGAACTATAGATTATAGTCTGGACTAGTTTGGGCAATAGACTAATGTCTGGATCATAGACTAATGTCTGGCCAATAGACTATAGTCGGGTCTGAAGTATAGACTTTAGTCTGTAGTATAGACTATAGTCTGTACTCTAGGCAATAGTCTGCCCTTTAGTCTTTAATCCGCAGTCTGGTCTATAGACCGTACTCTAGACTAAGTCTGCACTATAGACTATAGTCTAGAGTATATAGACTGAACTGTAGTCTTATTTGTAGTCCATTTGAGACTTTCTAGGGCCTCTTAAATGATCAGTTTATAAATTACAGGTTTATTATATACATAAATAAGTTATTAAGTGTTTCCTTATTATTATTCTTATGTTAATTAAGAACAAGATATTTCTACCATTAAATATAAACACAATTGAAAATGTCATATTTCACTAAAGTTACAATTGTTAAAACAATTAATTGTATTAAATAACAAAAGAAACGGTTTCAAATGTTTCAATTTTTAACAAGCAATTGTGTTTATATTCTCAATTTTTTATATATTTTTCTATGTTTCTTTTTTTTTACAACTTTTTTTTTACAAAATATTTACAACATGTATCAACTAAGACAACTCAATGCAACTTTTGTGTTCCAAGCAATTCAAGTTTTCCATTATTTTTATTAAATAAAACTACAACCAAAAAAAAAAAAAAAGAAACTTACTAAATACTAAATTACAATAAACTATTAAACGAAAAACAGAAACTCACAACAATATTTTCACGCAAAACACACACAGTATTGAAATAATAAAAAGAAACTAAAATAAAAGAACAATGTATA